ACTGGGATGCCCCTGATTAGTGACGGGACACCCAGATGACTTAAATCATTAAACAGGATTAGGCCCATTAACACAAGCCCAGTTACAAGATAAGTTAAACATAAGAATGGGCTAATAAGAACTCTTATCAGCCGAACATCACTCTAACATTCTAACAGAGTTAAACTTGAAAGATGTTCTTTAATCCCATTTAAATGTGTATACAATTGGTAGCATGGATTAAGATGGGTAGCCACTTGGTTCAATTTTCTGTGCTGATGCCATGTATGCACTATAGGTATCTTATCTGTGATTCTGTTTTTAATAACATAACTTTTAGTTTTCATGTTAAGTATGCCTACCCATAAGCTAACCTTTTTTTTTGTATTAATGCAGATAATTTTGACCCATGAACATGCTGATGCAGTCCTTGGTCTGGATGATATACGTGCAGTACAACCATTTAGTCCTACAAATGATATTGATCCTACTCCTATTTACCTTACTCAGTTTGCAATGGACAGGTATTCTTTATTCCTTTCAATCAAAGGCATTATCTATGATGCCCAGATACAGATATGGATATATAGACACAGACAGGGGAAACGGGAATATAACCCTCCATTTCATAAAATCCTGGACATGGGATATGGGTATGAGTGTCCCGTGTTTGTGAGTCTATCCAATTAGTATTGGATACAATACCAGTATTCTAGGCATGTATGGGAATCCAGTTATCATAGCAGACCAAACTGTTAATTTCATTTGATATCTTTCATCTTCATGTGTACATCTCTGGATTCTAAGATTTGAAGTTCATGATGTTAGGATGGTACTTGTCATACATCATGATCGCATGGTAATTGGGCCGTCTGTTTGGGTTTGAAATGTTTTATTTATAACCTTTGTGTTCTAATATTCTATCACTTTATAAGGGTACTGAAAATCTATCTCATGACCAATCCAGTACATATGTCACAGAGGACCGACCAAATGTTCACTCCCAATGTACATATCCACCTTATGCCTCCCCTTGCATTGGAGTTTTGCATGAATGATGATACCTTCCAAGTATTCAAATTTTAGTTTGAAAAAAAAGAAAGCATAAAAGGGCTTATTTTGGACATGGAAAAGTTTTATGGGCTAAAATGTATACAATGGATAAAGAGTAGAGACAAGAACATGAAAGGTTCCTTTTAAGCTCTATAACTAGTTGCCATGTACACGATTCCTGGGTTGTTTATACTTCTATAAAGAACCTAAATGGAGATCACTCCCCCTTAAAAAAGAATAATTCTGGTGGCTCTATTTAAGCAAAAGGTTACAACACTTGTCTGTGTCCTCTACATTGAGTTTCAACATTTTTCCTGACATTGTATGATGTATTTTCCAAACAGCATTGCAGTGAAATTCCCATATTTAGTTCAGAAAAAACTGAAAGAAGGACAAGAAATTAGACGAGTTGCACAGCTTCGCTGGGAAATTATTGAAGGCCACTATGATAAGCCATTTGCTGCATCTGGCCTACAGTTTGTTCCTCTTCCAGTTACTTACTCCAATTCCATCTCTCATTCTGTTGTCTATATTATGCATCATCCATTCTCTTGTGCCTAATTGCTTGTTTCTAATGTAGGTAATGCATGGAGAGGATTATGTTTGCTTGGGTTTTCTTTTTGGTCAGAAATCTAGAATAGCATATGTATCTGATGTTTCACGTTTCCCTGCAAGCACTGAATATGGTATGTTTTGTTTTAGCTTTTGATGATCTAATTACCTGTTCTATATCATTCACATTTGCCATAAAAAATGAACAGTTAAAAATAAATAAATATATAGGCAGATAGATGAATAAAATACAAATTCCAAACACAGATATCTAGGATTTGGATCTTCCACTAAATTTATTTATTCTTTGGAACATCTTGTAGCAATGATCACATCATGGTGGGTCTAAAATTGTACAAATATATCCAAAGAAATTTCTATCATCAATGCTCTTGAATGCTGTCAATGTGCAAGCATATGGGTATCAATCAAGGTCATCCATCTTTTCTAGAAAAGTTCTAATTCTTTATAATCATTCCTTTGGTGTGGGAATTTGTCATTTTTTTTGTTTCCCTTGAAGTTTTAATTCCTCAATGTCTATCAATGTAAAGTGCTATCGTCGTGCTGATGGCATGTTGGACATATTTTTTTCCCTCAAACTACACAATTTTGTCTAAAACATAGTCTAAATGACCAAAATGGCTCACCATGCCACTTGTCAATTTGATTTGAACATGAATGATAAAAAAAATAAAATATGATTTGAGCATGAAATGATCTTACTAGGTCATGAGATTTGGGGTTGCCTTAAGATCACTCAGTATTTGCTGATGATCAATGGGTCAACAAGAGATCTCTTTCCAGCCAAAAGGGGTCTCCAAATAATCTTTTAAATAATAGATCCTAGATTGAGTAAACAAGGGTAAGCCAAAAGGATGTTGGTTGAAGTAATGAAATAAGATCTAAGGATTCCTATAGTCAAAGGAGCTCATAGTGGAAAATTTTAATTTTTTTATCAATAACAGTAAATTTTATTAATAATTGAGAACTTAGGAAGTTACATAGAAAAGGAGCTAAAGAATCTTAACTCCCTACTATACCAATGTACACCCAAATCATGAAAAACTTACAACACAGCCCAAAAGAGAGAGTTTTTGTTCACCCCTTGTCTAGCTAGCCCATCTG